GTGTACTTGATCGGGGTCGGGAAAAGACACATGAAGGAACAATCCACAGATCTTACTCTTTCCATTTATCCTAGTCAACATGCATAGTTTTACTCAGTCTGTAACGATGTGCAGAACGTTTTCTTAAGTCTCAGAAAATGTCGTTATGGTCATCTTGAGTTCAGCTTGAGACTTTAAGGTTTTAAAATAAACCCTATATTTCAACCTAGGGGTGTGGAGTTGGAAATAAATTGTCTGGCACAGCCTAATAAAATATGCCTTTGTACCAAAGGATGTGTAGGTGTACAGTAGGTAGTGTTTTTCATATCCGATACTAGTGACCAGAAGTCCGGATTCCTCTGATGCTTTTTAATTTGGACCATTATTTTTTCTAATCTGTCTCTAGTGAGTCCCCCAACTCTTGGAAAGTGCAATACTAAATCATGAAGTATACATTAAAATAAATGATAGTGTTGAATGTAGGTGACCTATGCAATCTTAACTTTTTGGCACTCACGAAACTAGAATGAGTGTATAATCAATTGACAAGTGGTACACGCAAAATGTATAATGGGAATCAAATGAAACAAGTTGAAAATACCTTTAGTGGCCCACTTTTTGTTTTAGATAAGTGCATTGGCTAATTTAGAACGTATTTTTTTCATAACCTTATTTCAGAGCCATTATAAGTATTAGTTTATACCGGTGATCCAGGAAACAGATGTGCATTTGAAAGAAGAATCAAACAGACCACACTATATTACTATTAATTAGAAGAGGTGCCAGCACCATATCTCACCTAATAGAAACAAACAGAACAATTAGCATTAATGCAAATAGCTTAACGTTCTGCCGTTAACTACTCGGCTTTTGACACAAAAACACAAAACACACACAGATGTGCAAAATGTATGCCAGAATGTTGCTCGTAATGAAACTAGATTATGAGTGGGTGCCAAGCCATTTTCTCCCTCCTGCTCCAGTATCCCTTTGAGCTGTCTGAGAAAAGTGAGGAACAAGACTCAGATCAGAATTTGAAAGAGCTCATCTGTCTCAACAAATCCACAAGAGCGGCAGTGAAGCTCTGCTCTAGTGTGAGAACATTTTGCTGTCAAAACAGATGATGTACCTTCTGGATATGCAGTGGTTAAACCCTTTAAGTTGTTATCAAGCATGCATTTGTGTATGCTTTTTCGGGTTTTCCCTTTCCTGTAGTGTGCTATATAGGTTTTAGTGCCTGTAAATGGTCTTCAAAGGCTAACATCCCAAAGATCCCTCCAGAAACTTCTCTCTGCCTGAAACGCCTCCATTTGACTCCTTTGTTAACTCCCTCGACATAGTGACATCACTACATAACACTCGAGCTTCTATTGTCTAGTGCTCCAACACATTGATGGGCTAAGGGGCGGAACATTTCTAAGTTGTTGACCAATCACAGCAGCCGGCGAGATAACTAATCAAAGCAGACTGGGCTCTGGTTTCAGACAGAGGGTGAAAAGAGGTGCTGCAGCACAGGCAGTATGAGAAAACCTTTTTGAACATTAAAGCATGTGAACAAACAAGCAAAGCAGTGCAACATTGTGGACTCAATTCTACACCCTGGACCTTTAACAAAAATATGCTATGTGGGAAATTCTTGAATTATAGTATTTTCAATTTAGTCACGGATCATTTCAATTTGTCTCATAATTTAAGGCAATCCTTTGTAAGCACTGAAAGATTGGCCTCTTAGTGGTTTATTTAAGAAACATTTGAAAAGACCCTCGTAGGTTGGTATTAAATTACTTCTCTGGCCCTGGACCACCTCTAATGAGACTCCTGCCAGCTCTCGTCGTGGCTCCTTTGTGTCCTCTTACAGCTAAGGGTAATCTCTTAGAAAAACCGTCACACTTACACACACATGTGCTCACAACCCCTGACTCGGCTCTGGTGCCAGTTATAGCCGCTCAGATTAGTCCCAAATGGTGTGGCTCTGCAGACCAGTTGAAAACTTTGGGCTTCCAGTGTATACCTCGCCACATACTTCTGCAACTCAAGCAAAAATCTGGACAAATCATTTTGCTGTCTAGAGAATTATTTCACATTGCAAGCAAAACATATTGTACAAGACACACTTACTTTAAACTGTGTGTTTTCCTTTTTGCTCGATTTTGTGTGTGCCTGTTTTATCTGTATATGTGTGTGTGCAGCTATATGAGCATGTGTGATAATTGTGTCTGTGTCTCATTTGTTGACTGATTTGTTTGGGCCATCTCTGTTGTTTGAGATAACCACGTAAAACCAGATATGAATATTCCTAATGGCTTTTTAATGTCTTCATAATTTGCCCTTTAAAGGGCTCTAATGGACTGTCCCCATGTTTGCACACGGAGGGGGAACAGTGGATCCGACTCAGGGTTATCTTTGAGCCGGCACTAAAGCAGACAAATGCCTTACACTCTTTCAGAACATCTACACTATGGAAAATACATAAAAGCCTGATATTTTACTCAACACTCTGCAAATCTGTATTGTATTTGGCTGCCAGCTGTGGAATATACCTCATGTCTGCAAGAGGTTCCCAGGGTCTGTGCTTTAGAGTGAATCTGAGAGTAGAAGCAAAAATAAACATTTAAGGGATAAATACAGGCTGCTTTGTGTGGATTTCCAGACTACAAACCCTGGTTCACACAGAGGGATGTTTGCCTCATTCTAGAAGATGTAGGAGGGTATAACATATCAATAGACTGTTGTCATTGATGATGTTTGAATTTACACAAACACTAACTAGGTTTTCTAAGCCAATATTCATGGTGACATAAAAGAGAAAAATATGACCGATCTAAAATGTGCTTTTAACACACCTTTTTGATAAGCCAGTTCATTTGGTTATTAAAAAGAATAGTTAACACCTTTTGGGAAATCCACCTATTCATTTCTTGCTGATCAAAAATAACAACAAATACCACTTATTGAGCTGAGCTTAGTGTAAAGACTGAAAGCAAGATTGGTATCACCATAATGTTGCCAGGCATTGTCAAGTATAGTCTCATATTTAGTAAAAATAAATAGTCAGAGGTATGACCCATTGTATAACCAAAACGATTATTTTTTACAGCATAAACAAGATATTACAAGTTTAGTAGTGTCTTTTTTATCTTAGGACCGAGCAAGGCTACAGTATATGTTTTCACCTATTTATATAAGGGGTAAGCTACTACTATGATGTACTCATACTGTGCATGTGTGTATGTGTGTGTCTGTTCCACAATTTGGCAATGCGGCAAGGTTGATATACCACAGAGTGTGTGTGTGTGTGTGTGTGTGTATGATCGTGAAGCCTGTGATGGGGAGAGTGAAACATATGGAGGTTAATAACCTGTGAGCCTGGCTCTGTTTTATTGGAGGAGTTGGCCTTATGAATCATGTGAGTGCTCTCTGTGTATGTGCAGGAAAAAGACCATGTACAATGATAAATGTGTCATTATTAACAGCACATTTAACCTCGCAGCAGTGGCTCTTTTGTTACAGGAGAACATATGTGTTCAATAGCGCTCACTGGCAGGGAAAGTGAGTGAGAGCGGGAGGGGAAAGGTGTGAGCAGAGGTTGATTGCAAAGCTATTTCCAAAGGCTTTGCCACGCTCTGTTAGCTGAAGAGCTCCATTTCAAAGACTATTTGTCTACTGCTGAGCACTTTGGCAAAGAGTGGCCTTGTTTTGAAGAAAGTCTGTGTGCGTTTCAGAAACTTGTGCATGTGTGTGCCTTTTATGCATGATTTGTGTAAGAGAACCTTGTATGTAATTGTTGCAGCATATGTGTACATTGCAAAGTATCCTTATTAAATGACTGGTAATGTTTACACGGATGCAAGCCTACTTTAATCACCATCCTCCGGCCATCAGCGACTGGCTGAGTGGCTCCATTAGCAGGGTCGTGATCCGTTTTTAGGCATTTTTTCACAAGATTCGCCTACAACAGTTTCTGAGAGGTCATCCATCATCTTCAAATCTCAGCCCTGCAGGAGCTGCTGCTGCAGTCACCTACACATGCATGCGCACAGTCTTTGCACAGGAAGTCTCTATTGGCTTTTTTTCTAGTTTGCAGGGCACCTTTATTACAGATCAGTACAGACCATGCAATGGCTTTCTTTCACATAAGAAATACTAGATAAACTCTTCATGTAAATGTTTGGTTTTTGCCCATAACATATTGAGTTTCTGTGGCGTTCTGTCATCAGCAGCATCATCTGAATGAGTGCATCAAATATTATTCAATTATTTATTTAAACAACATTTTTACAGAACATGGTTAAATCTTTGGACACATACACACATACCAGTACAAGCGCTTTGTAAAATATTCTATATCTCAGAACAAAACACTAAAACTATTTGTTTATAGCCCTAACTGTACGTGAAGGTTTTTCTTGTCGGCTGTGTTTGAATTATTTTGAGTACCTGGTCTCCAAGGAAACTCAAAGAGCTGTTATATTTTCTGAGGAGCAGATGGAATAAGTGAATAATAAATCAATGTGTTGTTTTTTACATTGTGTAAAGTTAGAGGAATCTGTAAAATTGAGTTTCTCAGCAGAGAAGCCTTCAAAAGCACCACTTTAAATCTTGTTTTAACCAGAGATGTGCTCATTTGTTTCTTGGAAGTATGTCATTAAGCATGAAGAAGCATAACATAATGATTACTGCACTAAAGCAATCTTTGTCTACTAAGACCGAAACAACCAATTTGTTGACTATAAAGGGGCCGCCTAATTGAAAGCCTGTTATTATTTTCCTGGAAGGTATTGTTTTAGAATTCATTGGATGTATACACTGTACGGGACAAATATAGACTATTCAAATATTTGTCGTGCCTGTTGCTGTGACTAACGGAGCTGTCTGTCTGTGCAATGTTTTGGAACCTAAACATATGGGACCAAAATAAACTCGAAATAAACTTTTCTGAGAGATAGAGTGCACAGTATAGTTGTTTTTCTGGATGTTTATATAGGCACAGCTTCTTACTTATTTTATTTACTTTCTTCCAGGTACGCTGTTCTGCGAGACCCAGCAGGCTGGCTGAGTGTGAGCCCGGTCACAGGAACTGTCAACACCTCCGGCTCACTGGACCGTGAGTCTCCTTATGTCCACGACAACAAATACACAGCGGTCTTCATCGCCACAGATAACGGTGAGGAACAGATACTACACTGTATGAAAATGATGGAGGATAATTAGGCAGTTTTTGATGTGTTTCAGATCGCCTTTATAACCTTACTCCACGTTTCTACTCCACTGATATAATTGAATAAAAAGAGTAAAGAAAAGGCTTTAAAATAACTGTTGTAGATTGGTTCCTTATTGATATATCCCAGGAAATAACCAGTTGATTCACAAAAAGCAATTTTTAACAAATGTTATGAAGAGTTGGATTGTTAGTAAAGACCATGAAAGCCCTGGAAATTAAAAAAAACTGTGTTAATTGCTTCTTTCCCTGCTTTTTTTAAAAGTGTAAATTGACAACAAACCAAACACGCTAAGAAAATATGCCATCTCCCCTTCATCTAACACTTAAATAAATAATTTGAGAATGTGTTAAAAGCTTTGCTGCAGAGGCTTTCCAATATAGATTTATTCGCATTTGTATTTTAGAAAGAAATCCTCCTGGGTGATAAGTGCAAACATTACAAAGAAATGGGTTTTGTTCACTATTGCAATCCACTCACCCTGCCCGTTAGTTTCACCCATGGCCACAGGGAAACTGTCATTATCCTGTGGTGACAATGGTTTGGCCTTAAGTGGCATTGCTTCTAACAGACCATATGGTCCCTGGTTAGCAGTGCCATTGGTGCTGCTGCTCTGAGACTTTTCAAGGCACAGATGAAAGTGTCAAGAGCCTCGGCGCCGATCTCTTTTTCTTCTTTGCTTCTCTCGTCCTGTGTCTAGCTGTCTCTTTGTCCCTCTCTTTCATTGTCTCTCTCCCTCTCCTTATCAATCTATCTGGTCTCCCGTGCTCAGGGAGATTCTGACAGATCCATTAGAGGAACTGAGAGATTCTATTAGTAGGCAGCAGAATAGCACCGTTGTGCTGGGGAATTCGGCAGCCTCAGAAAGATGAGCGTTGGAAGAGGAGTAATGATGGGGCAGGAGGTTGAAGGGTCAAAGGAGGAAGAGAAAGAGAGGGACGTGAGAGGCGATAACAGGGGAAATATATAAAGCCCGGGAAGTGGGTAAAGAATAGGTGGAGAAGAAGAGGAAGGGTGAAGATTATGAGTGGACAGGGCAGGGAGTAAGATTGGTGTTGGAGTCAGATGAGGATACAGGGTGAGAAGATAGTGTTCTGCTTCATATTTCTGTAAAACTTTCACAATATGGGCTGACATTACTATTCCTTTACACAACAGTTGTAACAGAATCATAATGCTAACATTCTGATGCTAGGTACGTTTTATGTTCACCATGTTTACCATTTAGCATGTTTAGGGTTAGTTTTGCTTGTCAGTTTAGCCAGTATTTAGTCGTACAGTAGTTCAATTTTGACCTCAGGATGGCGCTGTATTAAAAGTCTAGAGGGGGAATGTAAATGTTTGTAACAATTGGCATGGCAATCAAATCAATAGCTGTCAAAACATGACTAAAAAACTAAGATATTGCAGGTGCTTAAATAGAAGAAAAAGAAGACGAACCCTTATGTATCCCCCTAGAGCAAATTCTGTTTTTCACTCTGGCTTATATTTTTTAATACACACACACAGTTTTACACACTATACAAAATACAGGTTGAATAGACATGCACATGCATCTGGAGAGGTGCCAGTCTCGCCGGCACCAGGGAGCAGTTAGGGGTTTGGTGCCTTGCTCAAGGGCGCCTCTGCATTTCCAAGGAGGTGAACTGGCACCTCTCCAGCTACCAGTCCACACTCCTCTTCGGTCCCAAGGCCAAGTCCAGACAGACTGAGCCACTGCTGCCCCAGCCAGTCAAAGCATCCCTACAGTCGATAGGATTCATATCCTTTGGACCAGGAATATCCATTTACAATCAAATGTTATGGCCATCCAATGGTTGTTTAGATATTTTAGACTTGTGATGGACCGACACGATGACGTTGCCAACCCTTGAGCAAAGCACTATCCTGAAACTATTTATGTCTAACATCTAAAAGGTGATAGATACGATGTACCTCTGTTGATGCTGTTCCGTGGCCATTATTCTATCTAAAGAGAACCATAAAAAATCCTGCACACAGATCTTTAACAACCCACAGAGTTGATGCTCCTGTGTATGCAGTGTGTGTGTGCACATAGTTTGAATGTGAGCAGAATACTGATATCTGCTTGACCCCTGCCTCGCCTTTATCACAGCACGCTCTGTCATTGACAGGACAAATTTGCTCCTTCGCCGCAGTGATCTGCGCAATGATTGTATGACAACCCACCTGCGTGGACTTCCAACACGATATCGATTGACCCGAACATCTTTATCTTTATATTTATCTTTATTCAGAGACTTCAGCTTTATCTAAACTGCGCTGGCAAGCAGGAGGTTGAAAGTGACAAGAGAAATAGACTTGTGTCAAACAGAAAGGGAGAGAGGAGGTCAGGCATAGGTGAATGTACTTAGGAAGACAATTGGAGAGAAATATTCTAAAAACTGAGAAAATCTATTGAAACATATTAAGGTAAGGAAAGGAAAGGTCTTCAACAACAAAACATTATTTTTTAGTACAGGTTTTCCAAGGTTTTTATCATTGCATGCCATACCACAAAATCATTTTATTTTCCATGGAAGAAAAGTAAAATATGCTGCCAGTAACCGTTAGTCTTGTTGTAGTTTTCTACTGTATTTCTTCTTTTTGATGGCCATGACAGTTTAAGCTTGTTTGACCTCATGTGCTAACCTGAAATAGGAAGTATATTCTTGGTAAATGTGTTGCATGGTTAGCAACAGATTGACATAGCCCCTGGTTAACAGCATGAGGGCAGGTCAGCCGGAGCAGGCCTCCAGGCTGCAGCAGATGGTGAACGACGGAGAGAACATACTATTGGGAAGGAAGGAAGTCAGGTTCAAGGAAAAGAAAAGTGAAGATGGCGGACAGAAATAGGACAAACATAAGAGAAGGGAATAAGAAAAGGATCCGGTGGTTGAACAACGTGAAGTAACACAAATGTTTATGTCAAGGTCAGGGGTCATCTCAGCTCGAAAAGCAGTGAGTCTGGAGGTTACACTCGATTGCCATAGCAATCATCTGCACTTGCAGGAGAGCCAGACACAGTCATATGTCGCTCCATGATGTGTGTCGTTGTATACTTGAATGAATGTGTGATTTTCGCTTCGTGTGCACAGGAGAGTGTGAATCTGATTATTTGCATGCACTGGTGCTCACCTTCATCCCTGCATCTGTATTTGTGCACATTGTCTCCCTCCACCCATCATGTGTTTCTGTACCTGAGTTAATGACTGAAAAGCTGCAACCCAGTTGTGTCTGGGCAGCGGCACCTGGCAGGCCGATGAAGCAGCGCGATATTGTTTGATGAGATATTGTTCCAACCTGAGCAGAGGGCTTGACGGGCTGTTTATATAAACTCTCATCAGTAGCTGCTGGTTTCGCACGCCAACAAATTCTCTTCTGCTCTCTGATTCCCCGCCGCGACGCCAGCTGTTCCCGCATCTTACCCCCTTCTCCTTCCTCCACATTCGTTTTTTATATTCTTTGTCGGCAGATCTGTGTGTTTGTTTGTGTGGGCGGTTTGAAGTTGTGTGTTCATCCATGTTTTTAATGTCTTTGTCCTGGTACACGCAGTGCCTCTCCTGCCTGCCCCTGTGTATCCACTCACTGCTGTGGTTCCATTTTTTCTCCTGCTTCTCATTTAAATGTTAAACCGCCTCCTGGTGGGAACCATTTGTCATTGGGAGGCATGAATATATTATCAAAGCCCCAGTCGTCTGAAACACCGCAACGCACATACTCACACACAAGATCTGCAGTGTCTGCTGCCACTGAACTTCCAATACAACTTTAAAGTTATGCACAACATAATTAGGCAGTGTTTGCTTTGAACACGTGGACATACAGAGGAAAGGCCTTCATTTAGTCCTGACAGTTTGTGCGTGTGTGTGTCTGTATCACACTGAAACAACCTCAACACAGTCGTAGAGAGCTTTGTTAATTACAGGAATGTTAAGTATTGCACACACTCAGACTGAGCCCTTTGATAAGTCTCAGCATTCATCACATCCCCTCTTGTTCAAATCAAAAGCAAAAGGCAATAGGAGAGAGGCGATTCTGAATCCTAATGGGTCAGAGAGGAGACAGAAAAAACTCTTTGGTGCCCAGATGGATGCAAAATTAAACAAAACTGTGTGTTTGCAGCATGTGTCTAACGGCCATCTCTATGTTATATCTATCTATCTCAAGGTCTGCATAATAGGTTGATTTCTCCTCTTAAAGGAAAGAATAAGACTGACAGTGGTAGCCGCCTGTCAGTAGCTGAGACCCCCCCATGTGAGTGTGCAGGCAGGCATACCTTTCTGTGCCTCGACATGTGTCCATCTTCGCGTACGATGTCCGCCACAGCTCTGCCTCATTGCAGAACTAAGAGCTGGGAACCACTGTGCGGCTTATTGACATAATGGGCTGAGTAATTTTCCTGTTTCAGGCCATCCAAGACACAATGGCTTTACTGCTAAGTGTCTGTCATGTCAGAAGCACACAGCGAGGCAGCCTGGCAGGCTAAATGCAGATAGATAGACTCATGTTGTGTGTTTAGCCAGCTGTGATCAGGCTGCCTCAAACTACAGCAGTGCAATAATAAAGCATGATGAGCCCGTGTGTCAGCCCAATGGGCTGAAATCCACGGGCCGAGAATACAACAGAAAATAATCCTTATGCCTCAGCTGTTGCTTTAGGCATCGTGTTTTCCGGATGTCTACCCATCATTTTCTCGTAAACTCGATATGTCTGAAACGCCTTGAGGGAATGTCTTTAAATGTGGTACAAACACCCACTTGGACTTAAGGATCAATTGGATGTTGGTGGTCAAAGGTCAAGGTCACCGTAACATCACATATCTCTGTTGCTTTTTAATGTTATATCTCATAAAGGCCTTGAAATAATTATGTTCTGATTGAGCAGAAGCTACTTGTACTTTAGGATGAACTGATATAGATTTGGTGGTCAAAGGTCAAGGTCA